CGAAAGGAGACTGCGACCATACCCGAGGCCAAAACATCTTGGTCTTCACATCTTCAATTTAACTACGGTATGAAAAAATATATAATTCAAAAGTCTGTAATCAGCCTAAAAACGATGTGCTCTCAATGAACATTTACTTGCTTTAGCTTCGTATCTGTCTTGCAGACATCTCCACTACTCCTTCGTCTGTAGCAAGGATCATTGCATTGCCAAATAAAAAATGTTAAGAAGAGGTATTCGGCCTATTTCGACCTCATCTAGGTCTTATCAACATCCCCGGTGGGACTCGAATCACGATAGTACAACATATAATCTTGACATGTTGACCACTACGCCACATTGCCACAAGTGCCCTTGGGTCAAAGGGCAGATGTGCATTTCAAAAGAGGCCAGGCCTTCTCCCATATCCCATTCTTATAGCATTCGAGTACATTACTTATTTGTCTTTGATAAGTAGGTTTTCGAGACTACCAGTAGATCATATATGTGAGATGTATTCAGCCTTTTTCGTTAATGTGATGTTAATACCTTTTGAGAAACAAGGCTATATGAAATTCATTGTCAACATAAGGTGTATTCCTATCCTTGCGAGAAAATGTAACCACCATTCCTTCATCATCTTAACAAAATAGGGTGAATACATCTTATGTATATGATCTACTGGTAGTTTCGAAAGCCTAACTATAAACGAAATATAATTTTAAGAAGTTAGTCTATAGGCGCCTACAAATATAGCTTTAACTAGCAATTTATTTCTGGAGTCATAATCGAGCTGGTGGGGATATTGTCTGCCAAAAAGGTGGATTTTTTTATGAAGCGTAGCCATCCGAAAGACCCATAATTACATGGCATCTCGGTTAAATGCGTTCTTTTATAGCCAAGATGTTATCTTTTTCTCCAAGAATCTCTTCCTCTGCACCTCCAGGACTAAAAACTCACACACCGCCAATCGACTAAACAAACTACATATTTATCTACACGCCTACCAACCTACCTACTTAACTTTCCAATTACCAACCCAACTGTTTGAAAGACAACCACTTAACCGGCCGATGGAACAGGTAACAAGCCAAACAACCAAACAATCAACCAACTGCCTGACCAAGAGCCCAACAGTCAACCGACCAACCGAGCCATCAGCCAAAGAACTAAGCTACCGACAATGCAACAGTTCACACAATGCTTCCAACATACCTACCTTTCATCTATCCGCAGTTACTTGCCCATTTTACCAACCGACCAACATCACCAAATAACATCCCGCCCGGCTAATCATAAAGTAACCATCCAACCACTCACCTGGTCGCCCGTCTGTCTATGAGCCAACTTGCCTATCCACACATACCACATACCTAAAGTCTATTCTCTATGTGAGTCTGGCTTGCTGCCATTCCCTTTCATGATCTCTTTTATCTGGAATCGCCAAAACGAACAGCGCACGCGACCATTCCAACAAGCCCCTGCGGCACGAACAACCAACTAAACTGAATTCCACAGTCTCAAATTAGTCGAGCCGATTTTCATAGATAGGGCTTGATTTATGATAGTTGGGAATCATATCCAAGATCTGGAGTGGCCATTTGTGCTGGATGGCCTATCGGAGATGGGGATAGGGCAATAAGCGTGCGGTTGGATGTAACAACTCGGCCAGCATTCCCACACAACTAGTCATATTTATCAAGTTTGCACACCACCTGGCTCATCACATCCTCCACTCCTCTTCCTAATGAGCATCATTGTCGTCATCATCATCATCACCAACAGCATCACTTGCCTCAATGACGATGGCCTAATGAGTGTGCAGATCGAGCCGAAGTTTCCCCAAGTCAACTAGCCCCAAACTGGGGAATAAATCAACATGCCTTCATTATGGTCAAGATGCTGCACCTCAGGCTTGCATCACCAGACCAAACCACGCCCTGACAGGCCCGACTGCAATGCGCCAAGCCATCAAAACGGCACACACTCTTCGGCGTGTGCACAGCTGCACACTCAATCACAATCACAATCACAACCCTCGGGCATGCAACATCAACCTTTGCCTATACCCCAACCTCACGGCCGGCCGGATTGGGCCAACGAGGGTATAGCGGATTAGCGATTCTGGGGGAGTAGCAACCCCTGGACTTTGAAGGCTCGGCTTCGTTAGGCAAAGGGGGCCAACCGAACCCATCCAAATGAAACAGGCGAAAACCATCCTGGCAAGCTAGTCCTACAAAATCACACTCATGCTAAAACCTCCCGGCTTTGGGCACATACTTCTGCAGAATTAGGCGCGCAAACTGGCCGAAGCCTTTGCGCCTAATGACTGGCCACTTGAGGGCCTCACCTCAATTTTCTAATTAGCATGTGGCGTTGTTGGTTTCGTAGTGTGTTGAGCCTTTTGTACCCCTCGGGTTTCGCATGTGAAGGCTATGAATGGGCGGTGTACGCACGTGTGAGATCTCGTCACATTCGCTTCGCCGACAGCTGCTTTACTCGTCTCGTGCGGTCGCACGCTTCACACGCTCTCCCCGTCCGGTCGGTACCCTCCCAGTGGTGGGTTTGAAGCCGATCAACCACGCCGAATCGGAACCATACGTTTCTGGCTCGATAACTTGGTCCTTCTCGGACCCTATCCCTATCCAGACGGAAACTGTGACCTAACGGCATGATCAGCCTCTCATGGGTCCGTCATATTCACAAAATTCTCCTATAGATGTACCCGTTTCGCCTGGTTTTCCCATTGCGCCAGACGGAGAATGCGCCAAGGATGAATTGTAGAGAAGACTTGTTTTGTGTATATAAAAGAAAATGCGGGTTTCGAAGAAGTGGCTGAACGCAGGGCAGAGACTGGACATGAGATAGAATGTCATGGTATCTCTGCTACGAAGCACAAGATAAGAGGGGCTATTGCAATTACAAGATTATGGAATACGTTGATTGTGAGGAATGGTGGTAGAAAGTTGAGTAAGAATTACTCACACTTGACGGAAAGATTGAAAGAGAGAAAGGCTGTTGAGCCGACGTCCAAGAGAAGACGATACAATTTGGGAGATAAGTTATGGTTTTAACTAAATTCACACTCGTTCGACAGGCATGTCAAACTCCTCAAGCAAAACAGACGTACATGACTAGGCAATCCCAGTCATCCATCTCATTGGCTCATTGAACCTTAATAAAGCCGACTAACGGGTTCGGACTGGTGGTTTCGTAACCTAAATTTCACGCATACAAGCCTACATATTATCAATTCATTCAGGGTTACTAACGGACTAACGCAATCTCGGTTATACTTTTTCCCTTGAGTCATTAGGCCATGATGACCCGGGGCTGACATTGGAATTTTTTCTAATTTCTCTTAGTTATGGCCGCTTTTGCGTACAGACGCTAGAATACATGCACACGCAACCAAACTCTTCTATATCTAAATTTTTCTCACAATGATAATATATATGATATAGGAAAAAGCCGATTCGTTTTCTTGACTCGAGGCTTTTGTAAGAATAAATCCCAGTTCTGATAATGTTCCTGATACGACGAACGAAAGCTCAGCTTGTCTTCGCCCGAGACGTTGAAGAATGTCTCGTGGAATGCATCAACCTACTGCGGTACAACGCGAATCAACCAGCGTCTTCTGGTGAGATTGACCCGCGAATCTCTTCACTTACACGCAAAATGAATGTCATGGCGCAATTAATTTCACTGCATCTTGCGCCCCAAAAGACCATTCCCATCCAGGCTGGACAGCGGTTTGAGCCTTATCCCATCATCTCTTCAGCACCTTCGGCGGGACTCTAATCAGTGAAGTAAAAGTTGCGATGCAAGCCCACTAACTTTGAGGCAAGCAATTCGCCAAATGGATACAGAATGAAGTAAAAGTCAACTCCATTGGTACCATAAAAAGCGGTCGTAATCAGTTGTAGATACGAATAGAAACTTGGTTTCGATGAATCTCCTGAGATAACATTGTTAGGGGGACCTTTATTTCGAATGAAAGTACATGATGAAGAGATTCGTTTGTCGATCCCATCAGATGAGGACGGATGAAAATCGTGGACTGCGTCAACATGAATATAATATAAAAGCTAAACTGCTGCAGTACAACGATTTTCATCCGTCCTCATCTGGTGAGATCAACAAACGAATCTCTTCATCATGTACTTTCATTCTAAATGAAGGTCCCCCTAACAGTTGTATATCAGCAAGAAATTGCCGACCCAAATGGCTGAACTGAAATGGGCTTGATTCGATTTGATTTGATATCAATGCGGACTGGTGGGTAACCTAATTGCCCTTCAATTCGAGGGTCCATGGTTCGTGTTTCAATAGGCCTATTTTAAGAGGTTGGGGCGCGGTTGCTGCTACAGTCTAGTCTAAATGAGAATGGCCTTCATTTCACTTTTCCTTGAGTACTTTTCTTCACCGGCTAGTTGTGAAATAGAAGTGCTGCTAAGACGTTACTTAGAGAATGCCAAACTGATAATCACTAGGGCTTCATTTTTAGCTATAATTTCATATTCTCTGGTGAAACAGAGCCTACTTATATCCTAGCTTCGTCTGCTTCTGTGACACCAGCTATAATGGGCGGTTGCTCAAGCAATTTAAATATTTCCTACGGGACTTGGGCTCAGTAAATGCTCATATTAAAGGCTGCAGGCAAATGCTAACCTACATTACTTTGGTACCTCCCTATGAAATGTCATCAGACCGATTGTCGAGTTCTATCCTCGCGGGTTAGTAAAAATCCATAATTGTGCATGGTTGGCACTCCTACTCTCTCCAGTGAGACAAAAAATTGCTCACTGCTTCAACTTGCATTACATAAATTGTTCAATGTCACCGAAAGTGGTTGTGGTGTCGCATCAGTTTCTATCGGTTGGGCCTACAAGCATGCTGCTGGTCGAGGGTCACCTAAAGTTAAAACACACCATCGTTTGTCCTCGTTGTCAGCCAGATCTTTTAAGGGACATGCCTTAGTAACCTTCTGTCCTAAGAATGTCATCTTGTGCAACATTTAATCCGACTCCCTTAGAAAGAAAGAGTGAATGAAGGCCTAAACCAAAACACAGACAGACCTAATCGGGTGCTTGGGTATAGTGTAAAGACAAAGGGTCTTCGCTTTGCATCAGTTTAAGGCTCGGAGAGTGATCCCAAAAAGTTTAGGATCAGATATTGCTAGTTCAGCCCTGCAAAGTGTTCCGGAATGTGAAATAGATGGGCCTTAAATCATTTTTGTTAAGTTATTCTCTTGCAAATTTTGCAGCTGTTCGCACTTTTGTGATACAAGAGGGGGAAGAATTATTTGGCTGTTGTGCTAAAGTGCGTCTGTTCATGCATGAACAAGAATATGGGGACACAAAAATGCATGTCCCATCTGGGGCCTATGATTACATTGTTGATTACATTTGTATTCGTGTTTATTTGCATGTGTGTAATAGCGAAAGGTCAAAAGAAGCCACAGAATAGCTAAAGTGACCCACTTATCCACTCGAGTGGCACATTCGCCTCGCAAAAGTGACTGGGCCAACGAATGATCCGTTTCCTACCGAGTTATCGCCTTAAGTGTTGGGCCGAGATGTGAGCACGTCTCGGTACCGGATCAGACCCGAGTCCCCTCCATAGAGCTTCTTGGGTCAAGGGTACCCACTTTCCATGTAAGTGGTTGAGAGTGGCCTTTTCCCTTTATGAGGTGCTAACTGTATGTGTGTTATAACCAGACATTCTAGCATTAAATGAAATGCATTCTTACTCTTATTGATCACCACGAGTTAGGCTAACCCAGTTCGCCATACGCGCATGGCACTGGAGTCTGAATGGGGCGGGTAAAGACCGGAAGAATTAAAAAAACATATTCGAAGAAAAGTTTAATTTTAAAGAATCTCTTATTTCATAATGGTTGAGCTTACTTCCATTTCGAGTGAAAGTGTTTGGTGAAGAGATTCGAGGATCGGTTCCACCAGGAGACGACGGTGGATTCCTCTTGACCAGCTGTCGATTGGCTTTACTTGAACATTCATGCTGACGCTGTTGCCGAGGCAATCTCCTTCGATTCCGATAAAAAGGTGCTAAGCTTTCGTCCGTCATATGACGAACATCATCCGAGCAAGGTATCATCGGCAAAACCAAATTCAAGCTAACGAGTCAAGAGGAATCCGTCGTCGTCTTTTGGTGGAACCGATCCTCGAATCTCTTCACCCAACACTTTCACTCGAAATGGAAGTAAGCTCAACAAAAGTAGTCTTACCAACATGAAAGATAATTAACCAAACTATTTCATATTCATCTATGCCCATACATTTTCAAATGATCCGTTTCCTACTGAGTTATCGCCTTTAACTGTTGGGCCGAGATGTGAGCACGTCTCAGTACCGGATCAGACCCGAGTCCCCTCCCTAAAGCCACTTGGGTCAAGGGTACCCACTTTCCATGTAAGTGGTTCAAAGTGGTCTTTTCACTTTACAAGATGCTATTTGTATGTGTGTTATAACCAGACATTCTAGCACTAAATAAAATGCATTCTTACATGAGGAATCATACTCTTATGGATCACCACCAGTTGGGCTCAACCAATTCGCCATACGCGCATGGCATTGGATACTGAATGGGGCTGGTAAAACCGGAAGAGTTAAAAAAAACAGGCCAGCCAGACTCAGAATGATGACGTGTATCGACGACGATAATTTAACAATGCATGAGCTGTATTGACTCTATTTCATTCAAGACGATGATGAATTTTCCCAAGATGATATAAGATGGCCTCACGTTTCCATTGAATTTCACATCTCCTTGATTTCCAAAAGATGTTCTCATTCAGGGCAAATTGCATTTTCGATCTCGCCCGTTTCTCACCAGCAGCCCCAGCAGGACTAGAACCAGTATTGCGCTAGTGCAGCGTATAGTCTCGACACAGTAAACATTACGCCACACTCATGTTGGAGCGCCTTTCAATTAGTTTTAAGAGGCGAGTGGACGCCACACTACTATGAATGCCCTAGACTCACAGCTAAGACGTGAATTCCAAGGAAAGACAGGCCTTTACCATATAAATTACTGTGGTGGGTTTGTCGATTAAGCAAACTTGTATTTGCAATTACTATCGAGTATATGACTTATATTCCGTTGATATATAAGTTTTAAGACTGTCTATTTTACATAGCAATTCCTAATCATCTTAAATTAAATGAGGTGAATACACCTCAAATATATGATTTACTTGTAGTCGCAACACCTCCATAAAAAGAAAATTTGAATAAAAGATATGAAGACCAAACTGGTATGGCCCTCAGTATGGTCGCAAATTAGAACGTTGAGCCAACTCTT